TAAATAAAAATTTAATTTGGTTAAGAATCGTTCACTTTTTAAAATGCTACGAGATCGTTCTCGCATGAAGATAAAATATTTTGGAAAGTTTATCGGAAATTATTTGAGTTATTTTAAAAGTTTTGATGCAGATATGTAATAAATAACATTTTCGATTTCGTCTTGAAAGAAAATTTCAAAATAAGTTATAGCAGAGCGTGGTTTCGATCCACGGACCTCTGGTTATGGGCCAGCACGCTTCCACTGCGCCACTCTGCTCTTGATTCAAATAAAATTTAATTTGTTAAGAATCTTCACTTTTACGAAATTAGCACGAGAGCAGTTTCGCATGAAGATAAAATATTTTGGAAAGTTTATCGGAAATTATTTGAGTTATTTTAAAAGTTTTGATGCAGATATGTAATAAATAACATTTTCGATTTCGTCTTGAAAAGAAAATTTCTAAATAAGTTATAGCAGAGCGTGGTTTCGATCCACGGACCTCTGGTTATGGGCCCAGCACGCTTCCACTGCGCCACTCTGCTCTTGATTTCAAATAAAATTTAATTTGTTAAGAATCGTTTCACTTTTACGAAATGCACGAGAGCAGTTTTCGCCATGATAGATAAAATATTTTGGAAAGTTTATCGAAATCATTTGAGTTATTTTAAAAGTTTGATGCAGATATGTAATAAATAACATTTTCGATTTCGTCTTGAAAGAAAATTTTCTAAAATAAGTTATAGCAGAGCGTGGTTTCGATCCACGGACCTCTGGGTTATGGGCCCAGCACGCTTCCACTGCGCCACTCTGCTCTTGCTTTAATAATTTAATTCTTTAAGAATCGTTTCAGTTTTACGAAATGCTCACGAGATCAGTTCTCGCATGAAGTCAAAATATTTTGGAAAGTTTATCGGAAATTATTTGAGTTATTTTAAAAGTTTGATGCAGATATGTAATAAATAACATTTCGATTTCGTCTTGAAAGAAAATTTCTAAAATATCTATAGCAAAGCGTGGTTTCGATCCACGGACCTCTGGGTTATGGGCCCAGCACGCTTCCACTGCGCCACTCTGCTCTTGCTTTCAAATAAAATTAATTTTGTTAAGAATCGTTTCACTTTACGAAATTGCCACGAGATCAGTTTCGCATGAAATCAAAATATTTTGGAAAGTTTATCGGAAATCATTTGAGTTATTTTAGAAGTTTTCATGCAGATATGTAATAAATAACATTTTCGATTTCGTCTTGAAAGAAAATTTCTAAAATAGTTAGCAGAGCGTGGTTTCGATCCACGGACCTCTGGGTTATGGGCCAGCACGCTTCCACTGCGCCACTCTGCTCTTGATTTCAAATAAAAATTAATTTGGTTAAGAATCGTTCACTTTTACGAAATAGCACGAGAGCAGTTTCGTATGATAGATAAAATATTTTGGAAAGTTTATCGGAAATCATTTGAGTTATTTTAGAAGTTTTCATGCAGATATGTAATAAATAACATTTTCGATTTCGTCTTGAAAGAAAATTTATAAAGAAGTATAGCACAGCGTGGTTTCGATCCACGGACCTCTGGGTTATGGGCCCAGCACGCTTCCACTGCGCCACTCTGCTCTTGCTTTCAAATATAATTTAATTCCTTTAAGAATCGTTTCAGTTTTACGAAATGCTCACGAGATCATTCTCGCATGAAAGTCAAAATATTTTGGAAAATTTATCGGAAATTATTTGAGTTATTTTAAAAGTTTTGATGCAGATATGTAATAAATAACATTTTCGATTTCGTCTTGAAAGAAAATTTCTAAAATAAGTTAGCAGAGCGTGGTTTCGATCAACGGATCTCTGGGTTATGGGCCCAGCACGCTTCCACTGCGCCACTCTGCTCTTGATTTCAAATAAAATTTAATTTGTTAAGAATCGTTTCACTTTTACGAAATGCACGAGAGCAGTTTCGCATGAAAGATAAAATATTTTGGAAAGTTTATCGAAATCATTTTAAATATTTTAAAAGTTTTGATGCAGATATGTAATAAATAACATTTTCGATTTCGTCTTGAAAGAAAATTTCTAAAATAAGTATAGCAGAGCGTGGTTTCGATCCACGGACCTCTGGGTTATGGGCCCAGCACGCTTCCACTGCGCCACTCTGCTCTTGCTTTCAAATAAAAATTAATCTTGTTAAGAATCGTTTAACTTTTACGAAATTAGCACGAGAGCAGTTTCGCATGATAGATAAAATATTTTGGAAAGTTTATCGGAAATCATTTGAGTTATTTTAAAAGTTTTGATGCAGATATGTAATAAATAACATTTTCGATTTCGTCTTGAAAGAAAATTTCTAAATAAGTATAGCAGAGCGTGGTTTCGATCCACGGACCTCTGGGTTATGGCCCAGCACGCTTTCCACTGCGCCACTCTGCTCTTGCTTTCAAATATAATTTAATTCCTTTAAGAATCGTTTCAGTTTTACGAAATGCTCACGAGATCATTCTCGCATGAAAGTCAAAATATTTTGGAAAATTTATCGGAAATTATTTGAGTTATTTTAAAAGCTTTCATGCAGATATGTAATAAATAACATTTTCGATTTCGTCTTGAAAGAAAATTTATAAAGAAGTATAGCACAGCGTGGTTTCGATCCACGGACCTCTGGGTTATGGGCCCAGCACGCTTCCACTGCGCCACTCTGCTCTTGCTTTCAAATATAATTTAATTCCTTTAAGAATCGTTTCAGTTTTACGAAATGCTCACGAGATCATTCTCGCATGAAAGTCAAAATATTTTGGAAAATTTATCGGAAAATATTTGAGTTATTTTAAAAGTTTTGATGCAGATATGTAATAAATAACATTTTCGATTTCGTCTTGAAAGAAAATTTCTAAAATAAGTATAGCAGAGCGTGGTTTTGATCCACGGACCTCTGGGTTACGGGCCCCGCACGCTTCCACTGCGCCACTCTGCTCTTGCTTTCAAATATAATTTAATTCTGTTAAGAATCGTTTCACTTTTACGAAATGCCACAGAGCAGTTCTCGCATGAAAGATAAAATATTTTGGAAAGTTTATCGGAAATTATTTGAGTTATTTTAAAAGTTTTGATGCAGATATGTAATAAATAACATTTTCGATTTCGTCTTGAAAGAAAATTTCTAAATAAGTATAGCAGAGCGTGGTTTCGATCCACGGACCTCTGGGTTATGGGCCCCGCACGCTTCCACTGCGCCACACTGCTCTTGCTTTAAATTTAATTTAATTCCTTTAAGAATTGTTTCAGTTTTACGAAATGCACACGAAATCAATCTCGCATGAAGATCAAAATATTTTGGAAAAATTGATCGGAAATTATTTGAGTTATTTTAAAAGTTTTGATTCAGATATGTAATGAATAACATTTTCGATTTCGTCTTGAAAGAAAATTTCTAATAGTTAGCAGAGCGTGGTTTCGATCCACGACCTCTGGTTATGGCCCAGCACGCTTCCACTGCGCCACTCTTATCTGATAGCAAATAAAATTTAATTTGATTAGAAGAGTTTCACTTTTATGAAATGAGCACAAGAGCAGTTTCGCATGATAGATAAAATATTTTGAAAATTTATCGGAAATTATTTGAGTTATTTTAAAAGTTTTGATGCAGATATGTAATAATAACTTTTCGATTTCGTCTTGAAAGAAAATTTCTAAAATAAGTTATAGCAGAGCGTGGTTTCGATCCACGGACCTCTGGGTTATGGGCCCAGCACGCTTCCACTGCGCCACTCTGCTCTTGCTTTCAAATATAATTTAATTCCTTTAAGAATCGTTTCAATTTTACGAAATGCTCACGAGATCATTCTCGCATGAAGATCAAAATATTTTGAAAATTTATCGGAAATTATTTGAGTTATTTTAAAAGTTTGTGCAGATATGTAATGAATAACTTTTCGATTTCGTCTTGAAAGAAAATTTCCAAAATATCTTAGCAGAGCGTGGTTTCGATCCACGGACCTCTGGGTTATGGGCCCAGCACGCTTCCACTGCGCCACTCTGCTCTTGATTTCAAATAAAAATTAATTTGGTTAAGAATCGTTCACTTTTACGAAATTGCACGAGAGCAGTTTCGCATGATAGATAAAATATTTTGGAAAGTTTATCGGAAATCATTTGAGTTATTTTAAAAGTTTTGATGCAGATATGTAATAAATAACATTTTCGATTTCGTCTTGAAAGAAATTTTAAATAAGTATAGCAGAGCGTGGTTTCGATCCACGGACCTCTGGGTTATGGGCCCAGCACGCTTCCACTGCGCCACTCTGCTCTTGCTTTCAAATATAATTTAATTCTTTAAGAATCGTTTCATTTTACGAAATGCTCACGAGATCGTTCTCGCATGAAGTCAAAATATTTTGGAAAGTTTATCGGAAATTATTTGAGTTATTTTAAAAGTTTTGATGCAGATATGTAATAAATAACATTTTCGATTTCGTCTGAAAGAAAATTTCTAAAATAAGTTTAGCAGAGCGTGGTTTCGATCCACGGACCTCTGGGTTATGGGCCCAGCACGCTTCCACTGCGCCACTCTGCTCTTGATTTCAAATAAAAATTAATTTGGTTAAGAATCGTTCCACTTTTACGAAATTAGCACGAGAGCAGTTTCGCATGATAGATAAAATATTTTGGAAAGTTTATCGGAAATCATTTGAGTTATTTTAAAAGTTTTGATGCAGATATGTAATAAATAACATTTTCGATTTCGTCTTGAAAGAAAATTTCTAAAATAAGTATAGCAGAGCGTGGTTTCGATCCACGGACCTCTGGGTTATGGGCCCAGCACGCTTCCACTGCGCCACTCTGCTCTTGCTTTCAAATATAATTTAATTCCTTTAAGAATCGTTTCAGTTTTACGAAATGCTCACGAGATCGTTCTCGCATGAAAGTCAAAATATTTTGGAAAGTTTATCGGAAATTATTTGAGTTATTTTAAAAGTTTTGATGCAGATATGTAATAAATAACATTTTCGATTTCGTCTTGAAAGAAAATTTCTAAAATAAGTTAGCAGAGCGTGGTTTCGATCCACGGACCTCTGGGTTATGGGCCCAGCACGCTTCCACTGCGCCACTCTTATCCTGATAGCAAATAAAATTTAATTTGATTAAGAAGAGTTTCACTTTTATGAAATGAGCACAAGAGCAGTTTTGCATGAAAGATAAAATATTTTGGAAAGTTTATCGAAAATCATTTGAGTTATTTTAAAAGTTTTGATGCAGATATGTAATAAATAACATTTTCGATTTCGTCTTGAAAGAAAATTTCTAAAATAAGTATAGCAGAGCGTGGTTTCGATCCACGGACCTCTGGGTTATGGGCCCAGCACGCTTCCACTGCGCCACTCTGCTCTTGCTTTTAAATAAAATTTAATTCTGTTAAGAATCGTTTCACTTTTACGAAATGCACGAGAGCAGTTCTCGCATGAAAGATCAAAATATTTTGGAAAGTTTATCGGAAATTATTTGAGTTATTTTAAAAGTTTTGATGCAGATATGTAATAAATAACATTTTCGATTTCGTCTTGAAAGAAAATTTCTAAAATAAGTATAGCAGAGCGTGGTTTCGATCCACGGACCTCTGGGTTATGGGCCCAGCACGCTTCCACTGCGCCACTCTGCTCTTGATTTCAAATAAAAATTAATTTGGTTAAGAATCGTTTAACTTTTACAAAATGAGCATGAGAGCAGTTTCGCATGAAGATAAAATATTTTGGAAATTTATCGGAAATTATTTGAGTTATTTTAAAAGTTTTGATGCAGATATGTAATGAATAACATTTTCGATTTCGTCTTGAAAGAAATTTCTAAATAAGTATAGCAGAGCGTGGTTTCGATCCACGGACCTCTGGGTTATGGCCCAGCACGCTTCCACTGCGCCACTCTGCTCTTGCTTTCAAATAAAATTTAATTTTTAAGAATCGTTTCACTTTTACGAAATGCCACGAGAGCAGTTTCGCATGAAAGATAAAATATTTTGGAAAGTTTATCGGAAATTATTTGAGTTATTTTAAAAGTTTTGATGCAGATATGTAATAAATAACATTTTCGATTTCGTCTTGAAAGAAAATTTCTAAATAAGTATAGCAGAGCGTGGTTTCGATCCACGGACCTCTGGGTTATGGGCCCAGCACGCTTCCACTGCGCCACTCTGCTCTGCTTTCAAATAAAATTAATTCTGTTAAGAATCGTTTCAGTTTTACGAAATGCCACGAGACATTTCGCATGAAGATCAAATATTTTGGAAAATTTATCGGAAATTATTTGAGTTAATTTAAAAGTTTTGGTGAAGATATGTAATGAATAACTGTTTCGATTTCGTCTTGAAAGAAAATTTCTAAAATAAGTATAGCAGAGCGTGGTTTCGATCCACGGACCTCTGGGTTATGGGCCCAGCACGCTTCCACTGCGCCACTCTGCTCTTGCTTTCAAATAAAAATTAATCTGGTTAAGAATCGTTTAACTTTTACAAAATGCACACGAGATCAATCTCGCATGAAGATCAAAATATTTTGGAAAATTGATCGGAAATTATTTGAGTTATTTTAAAAGTTTTGATGCAGATATGTAATGAATAACATTTTCGATTTCGTCTTGAAAGAAAATTTCTAAAATATATAGCAGAGCTGGTTTCGATCCACGGACCTCTGGGTTATGGGCCCAGCACGCTTCCACTGCGCCACTCTGCTCTTGATTCAAATAAAAATTAATTTGGTTAAGAATCGTTCCACTTTTACGAAATTAGCACGAGAGCAGTTTCGCATGATAGATAAAATATTTTGGAAAAGTTTATTCGGAAATTATTTGAGTTATTTTAAAAGTTTTGATGCAGATATGTAATAATAACATTTTCGATTTCGTCTTGAAAGAAAATTTCTAAAATAAGTATAGCAGAGCGTGGTTTCGATCCACGGACCTTTTGGGTTATGGGCCCAGCACGCTTCCACTGCGCCACTCTGCTCGTGCTTTCAAATATAATTTAATTCCTTTAAGAATCGTTTCAGTTTTACGAAATGCTCACGAGATCAGTTCTCGCATGAAAGTCAAAATATTTTGGAAAATTTATCGGAAATTATTTGAGTTATTTTAAAAGTTTTGATGCAGATATGTAATGAATAACATTTTCGATTTCGTCTTGAAAAGAAAATTTCAAAATATTAGCAGAGCGTGGTTTCGATCCACGGACCTCTGGGTTATGGGCCCAGCACGCTTCCACTGCGCCACTCTGCTCTTGATTTCAAATAAAATTTAATTTGTTAAGAATCGTTTCACTTTTACGAAATGCACACGAGAGCAGTTTCGCATGAAATCAAAATATTTTGGAAAAGTTTATCGGAAATTATTTGAGTTATTTTAAAAGTTTTGTGCAGATATGTAATAAATAACTTTTCGATTTCGTCTTGAAAAGAAAATTTCCAAAATATTTAGCAGAGCGTGGTTCGATCCACGGACCTCTGGGTATGGGCCCAGCACGCTTCCACTGCGCCACTCTGCTCTTGATTTCAAATAAAAATTAATTTGGTTAAGAATCGTTCCACTTTTACGAAATTAGCACGAGAGCAGTTTCGCATGATAGATAAAATATTTTGGAAAGTTTATCGGAATCATTTGAGTTATTTTAAAAGTTTTGATGCAGATATGTAATAAATAACATTTTCGATTTCGTCTTAAAGAAAAATTTAAAATAAGTATAGCAGAGCGTGGTTTCGATCCACGGACCTCTGGTTATGGGCCCAGCACGCTTCCAATGCGCCACTCTGCTCTTGCTTTCAAATATAATTTATTCCTTTAAGAATCGTTTCAGTTTTACGAAATGCTCACGAGATCGTTCTCGCATGAAAGTCAAAATATTTTGGAAAGTTTATCGGAAATTATTTGAGTTATTTTAAAATTTTGATGCGGATATGTAATAAATAACATTTTCGATTTCGTCTTGAAAGAAAATTTCTAAAATAAGTATAGCAGAGCGTGGTTTCGATCCACGGACCTCTGGTTATGGGCCCAGCACGCTTCCACTGCGCCACTCTGCTCTTGCTTTCAAATAAAATTAATTTTTAAGAATCGTTTCACTTTTACGAAATGCACACGAAGCAGTTTTCGCATGAAGATAAAATATTTTGGAAAGTTTATCGGAAATCATTTGAGTTATTTTAAAGTTTTGATGCAGATATGTAATAAATAACATTTTCGATTTCGTCTTGAAAGAAAATTCTAAAATAAGTTAGCAGAGCGTGGTTTCGATCCACGGACCTCTGGGTTATGGCCCAGCACCTTCCACTGCGCCACTCTGCTCTTGCTTTCAAATAAAATTTAATTCTTTAAGAATCGTTTCACTTTTACGAAATAGCACGAGACAGTTTCGCATGATAGATAAAATATTTTGGAAAGTTTATCGGAAATTATTTGAGTTATTTAAAAGTTTTGATGCAGATATGTAATAAATAACTTTTCGATTCGTCTTGAAAGAAAATTTCTAAAATAGTTATAGCAGAGCGTGGTTTCGATCCACGGACCTCTGGGTTATGGCCCAGCACGCTTCCACTGCGCCACTCTGTTCCTTGCAAATAAAATTTAATTTGATTAAGAACGTTTCACTTTTAGAAATGCACACGAGATCAGTCTCGCATGAAGATCAAAATATTTTGAAGTTTATCGAAATTATTGAGTTATTTTAAAGTTTTGATGCAGATATGTAATAAATAACATTTTCGATTTCGTCTTGAAAGAAAATTCTAAAATAAGTTATAGCAGAGCGTGGTTTCGATCCACGGACCTCTGGGTTATGGGCCCAGCACGCTTCCACTGCGCCACTCTGCTCTTGATTTCAAATAAAAATTAATTTGGTTAAGAATCGTTCCCCTTTTACGAAATTAGCACGAGAGCAGTTTCGCATGATAGATAAAATATTTGGAAAGTTTATTCGAAATCATTTGAGTTATTTTAAAAGTTTTGATGCAGATATGTAATAAATAACATTTTCGATTTCGTCTTGAAAGAAAATTTTAAATAAGTATAGCAGAGCGTGGTTTCGATCCACGGACCTCTGGTTATGGGCCCAGCACGCTTCCACTGCGCCACTCTGCTCATGCTTTCAAATATAATTTAATTCCTTTAAGAATAGTTTCAGTTTTACGAAATACTCACGAGATCGTTTCGCATGAAAGTCAAAATATTTTGGAAAGTTTATCGGAAATTATTTGAGTTATTTTAAAAGTTTTGATGCAGATATGTAATAAATAACATTTTCGATTTCGTCTTGAAGAAAATTTCTAAAATAAGTTAGCAGAGCGTGTTCGATCCACGGACCTCTGGTTATGGCCCAGCACGCTTCCACTGCGCCACTCTGCTCTTGCTTTCAAATATAATTTAATTCCTTAAGAATCGTTTCAGTTTTACAAAATGCACACGAAGATCATCTCGCATGAAAGATCAAAATTTTTGAAAATTTATCGAAATTATTTGGCGTTATTTTAAAAGTTTTGATACAGATATGTAATGAATAACATTTTCGATTTCGTTCTTGAAAGAAATATTCTATAGCAAGAGCATGGTTTCGATCCACGACCTCATAGTTATGGCCAGCACGTTCCGCTTCGGCACTCTTATCTGATCAAATAAAATTTAATTTGTTAAGAATGCCGTTTCACTTTTACGAAATAGCACGAGACAGTTTCGCATGATAGATAAAATATTTTGGAAAAATTTATCGGAAATTATTTGAGTTATTTTAAAAGTTTTGCTGCAGATATGTAATGAATAAACTGTTTCGATTTCGTCTTGAAAGAAAATTTCTAAAATAAGTATAGCAGAGCGTGGTTTCGATCCACGGACCTCTGGGTTATGGGCCCAGCACGCTTCCACTGCGCCACTCTGCTCTTGCTTTCAAATATAATTTAATTCCTTTAAGAATCGTTTAACTTTTACAAAATGCACACGAGATCAATCTCGCATGAAGATCAAAATATTTTGAAAAATTTATCGGAAATTATTTGGTTATTTTAAAAGTTTTAATACAGTATGAAACGAATAACATTTTCGATTTCGTTTGAAAGAAAATATCTATAGCAGAGCATGGTTTCGG